ACTCCAAAATCATGAATGGAAAAACACATCATTCTACGGCCTCTCTACAAAAGAATCACAGAAAGATGATATGATGTAAAACCCATGTGTCACAATGTCAAATAAACAAATTTCAATATATTTTTCTATACGGTAAATTTTAAGGACATGACGATTAAAATGCTTTAAACTAGATCAAGGTGAAAATCGTGTGAGTTTGAAGAACTATATTAGAAATCCTTTAAAAGTTCACAATTATGCAGCAGCTTCCCCAAAATCACATGCAATGTACATTACCTCTGTCACTGTCGTATAGATAGGCAAATTTCTCCCATTTGTAGTACTCCACTAATGAAACCAGTGGCCCCTTGATGTCTGGCCTCATCTGGAGAACAAACTGATTCATTCCTTCTGCTGGGAAAGATGGTGTGATGAAGGAGACATGGAGTGTCTCACAGAAGGATGTGATGGTGTTTACGGACTTCTTGTCGTAGAAGCCAAATATGGCATACACACCCCGAGAGAACTGGGAACAAACTGGGAGAAAGACAGAGAAACCTTTAATAACACTTTAAACAGAGACAGACAATCAGAGCATAAAGCAGGACAAAGGGAGGCTTTATGTAACAGAAGAAGAATGTCCCTGCAATCAGCACCTCGCAGTAACACTGAACTACTCTTAAACCTTAAGATATCGAATAACATTTAAGGCTTCTTTGAAACTGATCATCACACAGATTATATTATTACGATGATAATCCATACTTGGATTAAAAACTTTTGTTAACAGTTCAGTTGTGTGTATAAATATAGAGAAGAGAGATGGCATTAGTGGAGATGATGTGTTCAACCATTTAACTAATTTCTGGCAGAAAGAAGGGCAGTCTTGTGAGCTTGTCCAGTCACTTAGAGACATAGACAAAACTTGCTTCCAAGCAGACGGATCGCAGGCTTTGTGCCATGACATGTAGTTAGATTTTAAGCTGCATTTCAGGCAATGACGGAAGCTAGTAAAACCAACCAGCTTGTACTAAGTGTTTTATTGCAGAACCAGGCCTGTGTTGATAGCGTCTGACACAAAACCTTTTTTCAAACTTTCTACAAAGTCTTTCATCTTTTAACAATTAGATTTGCTACTCTAACATTTTCACATTATTATCACATATGCTACTTTTGTTGTATTGTGGATGTGTGCTGTTTTACTTAGAGGGTAGACATAGAAGTCGTTTGTGCCTTTGTGGCTGCTATATTTAGCTGTCCTACTTCAGTGACCTTGTTCTTCACTCTAGAAAGTCCAATTTCATATCTCTGGGTAAATTGCTGCATTCATGTGCATCATATCCTGCAATGATGACTGACATCTCCTTAATTAAAGCCCCGTAACATTACATCACTTTAAGGACTGGTAACTTCATACATTTTATTCCATCAAAAAGACAAAGGCTATGATATTGGACCCCAGAGATGTGACAAGTCCATGACCATAATCAGTGAAGATGTTATCGAGCAGGTGAGCACTTTTAAATATCTGGGCATACAGCTGGACTCCAATCTGAAATGGAGGGCCCATGTAGACTTTTGGTGTGGGAAGTTAGCTTCCTATGAAGACTGTTCGGTGTGAGCACCGACGTCATGTCCATATTTTACTGTGCTAGAAAGCATAATTAGATACAGAATGGGAGCATGGTGCTGCACTCTTACAGTCCTAAAATCAAAAATTGAGAATATGGTGATGGGCAAAAAGGACTAACCTTCCCTTCAGACCATCTACGAAGGTTCTATGGTCAGACTTGCACAAAGGATTCTTAATGACCAGTCACATACTGTTTTCTGAATTTGACCGGTTACCTTCAGGCAGATGTTTCATAGGCTGTAAGTGTAAGATCAACCACCTCAAGCTCTCATTCAACCCAACGTCTATCACACTACTATAAGGAAACATATTGCTTCAGCCGTGCATCTCAATGACCTTTGCATTTTGTCTGGCACATTTTACAATCTGGCTTTTGGGTTTTAATGTCAGTTTTTGTTTTTAGTCTTTTATGTGTTATATCCTTTTAGTGTTTTATCATTTTAAGTGTTTAAGGGGAGGTGCAAAATTCCACTCACTTTTATTCTGTGTTATTATTCTGGGTCTTACACAAAATGTCCCTGTGTACTGTAATGGAAAATTATACCACTATACTATATATTATCTCTGCTCATGTATATCATTTCTGCTTGTGTAACTGCCAAAATGACCTTTGATGACCTGCCTCACAGCAGATCCACTAGGTATCTATCTCTGAAAGATCTGGGACGTCAGAGCCACAAATCTGAGCTCACTGTGCTAGCCTCCTCCACAAGGACCTTGAAAAAGGCCCTTGTTCTGTGTCTTATCTCCTGGGAAGAAGTTATCTCTCAAACATTTACACACATCACCTCTCACGACACACACAAACACACACCCATCTGCTTTTCACACACACATTACCTCTTCACCAAATCTGTATATAAGAACACGCCTGCAAGTGTTTTCTTTGTCTTTCACATCTTTACATGACTGCATGCTGTGAGATCTGTCTGACCTATCTTGCAAGGAATAAAGTACACAAAGAGCATTATTCTCAGATCTCTTTATTTAAGAATCCTATCTTTCATCAATTCTCTGTCCTGTCTTCACCAGAACAACCTTCTTGATCCTCAAGGCAGGCCAATCAACTGAGACTGCTCTCCTTGCTGTCTCTGAGCAACTTTACACTATTAGAGCAGCCTCTCTCTTCTCTGTGGTCATCTTTCTGGACCTTCCTGCTGCATTTGAAAAGGTGAACCACCAGATCCTTATTTCCTCCCTTTAGGATCTGGGTGTCTGCACTCTCCCTGCTCACATCCTACCTCAGAGATTTGATGGATCCCCTTCTCTTTTCTCTGTACACCAACTCTCTCAGCTTACTATTACCATTGACAACTGTGTGGTAGCCCCCACCCAGACTGCTAGGAACCTGGGTGTGATACTTGACAGCTAACTCTCCCTTACCAGCGACATTGCTGCAACAACCCAATATTGTAAATACATGCTGCACAACATCAGGAGAATACCTTGCCTTCTCACTCAGAAGGTGGCACAGGTTCTAGTGCTGGGTCTGGTCATCTCACGCCTAGACTACTGCAACTCCCTCCTGGCTGGTCTGTCTGCTAGGGCCATCTGACCTCTGCAGCTCATCCAGAATGCAGCAGCTCAATTGGTCTTGAACCTACCTAAGTTCTCTCACACTACATTGACAAGACACTAGTACTTGCGTACCATGCTGTGAACGGATTGGGCCCAGCTTACATCCAGGACAGACACCCCAGTCCGTCCACTCCACTCTGCATCTGCCAATATGCCAAAAATAGGCTTGCTGCTCCCTCACTGCAAGGGACAGCTAGCCACTCGACAGTTAGCCAACGAATTCACAACTATTTGCTGTCCTGGCTCCCAAATGGCAGAACAAGCTCCCCATTGACATCAGGAAAGCAAAAGGTCTACACATTTTCCACTGCAGACACATCATCATAAAAAAAATTAAGTTAAGTTGCACTTATATGTTGCACTTACATTTAGCACTTTGTTGTTTTACTTTTTTGAAGCTAATGTAATTACTTGATTCTTGATGTTCTGGGTTTGTACCCTCATTGTTGAATGTACTTATTGGAAGTCCCTTTGGATAAAAGTTACAGCGAAATGATATGTAATGTAATCTCATGTCTCCATAGAATCCTTTTTCTAATTTATTGTTTTAGCTCCATGGAATCCTCTAAGAATGGTGATTTCATGTATCAAAGGAACGGTTAGCCTTTCAGCATAAATTTCTATTGTGATCTACCAATACGAAGTGAAGAAGCTTTGTAGGACTGAAAACCCTGAAGTTACCCGCATAACTTCCCATCCATCTTCGTTATACAGGCCTCTGTCTCCTGCTCACCACTTATTTAGAGTTGTAGCTTCCACCGCCACAACACTGTCATCCTCTCATCCACAATTTCTGATTGTCTCTGATAGTGGCAGTTGTATTCAATCTCTTGTCTTTCGACTTCCTCGTGGCTGTGGATTGGTTCACAGCACCCCTGGCTGTTGTGGTCTGGAGGGTGAATTACTCAGGAAAAGTTGTGTCATCCTCAGCATGAAACAACAGTGGAAAGATTCTGCCAAAAGTCAAATATATCTGTGTGTCTGTCTCCCCTTCGGTCTGTGTGTATGTGTGTGTGCGCGTGTGTGTGTGTTGAATACAGGAGTGGACTCAGATGTGCAGGATTCAGATCACCAGCTGCCAGTCTTCACCATCATCCTTCTTAGCTACAAATACCTGGTTCCTCCCTTAACACTCTGCCAGATCATAGACTCTGTTCTCAGAGTGTTCTAAATCAGGAATCCAGCCACCACTTTGAACTCTCCTATTCACTACACTGCTTTGGATCAGACCTAAGCTCTGCCTTGTCCTCACCATCAAGCTCTCTTGATCTCCTCTGCTCTGGATGCTCCCTCACATCAGAACCCCTCCTGCACCCACCTCTGACACAGTTCCATCTTTCCACCTGACATTTGCAAGTTTCAAGAAAGACTGTTTAACTATACTATCCTATCTCAGTCTCCAGTTAGGGCTGGTTGGAGAACGCAAAAGCAGAACACAAACACTTTCTACTAAAGCAGGTCCAGAACAAGTGTGTAGATAGCAGACAAAGGGAGCTCAGTGTTATCACAATGCACTGCACTTATATAGCAGAGCTTTAAGCCTCAGGCCACCATTACATCATGCTCTGATGAAAATAGAGTATTCTGCATGCATGAGTCCTCGTTTCATTTATTTCAAATCTTTGTTGCACAGTTACTGAATCTCAAGTATAAAATAACACTACAGTGTCTTGTTATTTTTAACAGGGACACTGGGCTCATATTCTTCTGAGAATTTATACATTAAATAAAAAAACATAGCAGATACAGAACAATACAGCAAACACATTAGTCTCTACACCACAAATGCTAATAATTAACATTTTTAACATCTTTAAAGGTACAGTGTGTAGAATGTTGTGATATCTAGTGCTGAAATTACATGTTGCAGCTGAACACCCCTCACCTCACTCTCCCCTTCCGAACATGATAAAGAACCTGTGGTAGCCTTTAATTGTCATAAAAACTCAAAAGGTGTTTAGTTTCTTCAGTCTGGACTAATGTAAAAAACATGGCGGCCTTTGTAGAGAGGGTCCCCTGGATGTAAATATAAAGTATTTGAATATAAAGGGCCTTTTCTGGGGTAAAGAAAACTACAATTCATACAATTTAGATGAAACTAAACGAGTGAAAACATCATGAGGATTATTCTACAATTCTGCCAATAGTGACCTTTCACCTAAATCTTACACACTGGACCTTTAATTTATTAAACTGTTTAGAATAAGAGAGGAGCAATACTTACAGCAATTAGTGACAGCAAAGCTGTTGGCCACCTCCAAGTTATCTATATGTGGAGTCAGTCTGAAGTCTGCCATCCCAAACTGAACCATGCCAACTCGGAATGCACTATACTCCTGATCTGCACCTCTGGGGAATAAACCACCTGAGACAGACAAACACACACACAGGACAATGTTAACACAGACATGAAAACAAGAAAAACATGAAGAGAAGGATCTGAATATATATTGGATTCTGAAATACACATTACAATGATCACAGTATGAGGTGTATTTGAGTATGTCGTATTTGTTTTTTAACTCTACTGCTGCACTAAATAAATGGCTGTTTCTCAAAATGTAACAACCTTGTTCAGTATCATTACTGCAGTACCATCAGGGGGCAGTAGAGATCGCTTTGACTTTAATTCAACACCCAGGGGGTTATTGTTGTGTGCTCCAATAACCACCAGGTGGCATCTGATGTGATTAAAGGTGCGTTCATTGACATAAACATCTGTTCTGTTTTGTGTATACACCACATCAAATTTAACAAAATGGTTATCCTTATAGAAACCGTTATGATTGGAATGTGTTGAGCAGACAGGTGCCTTAAATGCTGGCTGGGAGAAACTCCCAGAGGGATACTAATCACTGCAGCGCCTAACTGATCAAGGCTGAGATGTCAGACTGAAACATGTCCTCAATGAAAGATACATACGAGTACCTGAAGAACTCTCAGACTGTGAGAAGCAAGATTCTCTGGTCTCAAGAAACCAAGATTGTTCAGACATCATGTCCTGAGAAAACCACCTCTAAATAGAGTCCTGATTGTTCTAAATGCCTTCCTTTTAAAATCATGGAGGAAACTGACTCTTGTAAACTTTAAATGATCCTTAACACAGTCCTTTGTCCAAGCTCTGCAGGCAGCTCTTGACACCTTATGTCTTTATTTTTGCTCTGGTGTGTCTTTCAGGATCTGAATATGTATGTCAATGTCAGTATTTACTTAAAGCTTCAGTGTGTAGAATTTAGTGACATCTAGAGGTGGAGTTTCATACTGCAGCTGAATACTCCTCATTTCACCCTCCCCTTCCAAACATGAAAGATAATCTGTGGTAAACTTCAGTTGTCATAGGGAAAAATCCAAATATTTTATTTTGTCCAGTTTGCACGACAGTAAAAAACATGGCGGCCTCCACAGAGAGAACCTCCATCCATGTAAATATAAAGTTTTAGATATAAAGAGCTCATTCTATGATGAAGAAAACCACAATGCATACAATTTAGATGAAACACACCAGTGAAAACAACAATAGGATTATTTTATATTACATTTCTGCCAAAAATTCCTTTCACCTAAATCTTACACACTGGACCTTTA